AAATAGATTCTCAATATTTGTAGCATTCATCGTGACATTTTGGGGAAATAGAATGTAATATGTTTTATAAACTGTATTCTCTGTATAGCTACACATATTAGTCCCCAGAAAACTGTGGAGATTTTGGCGACGAGCAAGGAGAATGGTTTCATCAAGACATAAAACATATGAAGCAGCAATATCAAGGTAGATAGGATTGGCGATGATGGGTGGATGTTGAAGAGAGACAGTCAAAATAAGAAAGGCAATGAATGCAAACGACAACAATTACGCCGATCGTTTGAAGAATAAAAGATGCGTTACGGAAACAAAAAACAAATAACGCATGCAAAATTAAAAATATTTTCTAAATATTTTTCTTCTATTAATTTTTTCATTGAAATGACCTTGAAGGTGACTTCATATCTGTCATCTGACTTCAGATTTGAATTCATCATCCTTAAAAACCTATGAATGAGTATTTTCAGATTTTTTAAAGCTTTTTTCGTGATCTGAACTTAAAATGACCTTAAAATGACCTGTTCATGTCTGGATACAGTCAAAATGACCTCTGATTCGGATTAAGCGACCCTCAAAACATAAGTGTGATTTTTTCGGATATTTTTACTGGATTCTTGTAGTTTGACCTTCAAATGACCTTGAAGGTGACCTCCTGAAGGTCATCCGACCTCGGATTTGGATTCAGCATCCTCAAAAACCCATGTCTAATTTTTTTCAGATTTTTTACCACTTTCCCATTATTTGACCTTCGAATGATCCCTAACATGAGCTAACCTTGAAAAACCGACCCCAGATTCGTATTCAGCGACCCCAAAAACATAAAGTCCACTAGGTCTGGTCGGTGGATTTGAAAATTTTTTTTTTGTGTGGCTGTGTAATGAATCAATTATCTTGAAACTTTATACTTAAGTTCAGGAGGTTTATACAATTATTCCTGTAGTCTCGTTTTCACGGAATTATCTCAGAAGTTTACATACATTAACTTTTTTGGTATATTTTGTATATAAAGGTTATGAAAATCACAGTGCAACGATAAATTTAATTTACTCGAAAGTCTGGATAATTACATAAAAACAAGAGAACAAGCATAATTGTAAAAATTTCCTGAAAGTATTTGTAAAGATTCAAGATGATTGATTATTCAAAAATGAGGACAAAATAATTCGGTACTGAATACCGACCGAGTGGGTATACCTGGCCCTTAAACGCTTGTCTCAAAATAATTCTTTTAATCCGCTCAACAATATTCAAGGTCAACGAAACAAAAATTAATTATATAAATATCGAACCTCGCAGCACATAAGTTCCAGATGGAATATTCTATAGAGTACAGAAAACTTGAGTGACGACATACCGTCTGGTCGTACTTTCTCATTTAAAAAAGGAAGATACATTTTTTAAAATGTTCACACCCTATAGATCAAATTTAGAAACTAACGTTCAGAATTTTGTGTCAATAATATACAATCACAATTTTAAGTATCAGTAAATGTAATGAAATTGAAATTTTTCAACTTAAATAATAGATTTTCTGGATTCATTATTATGATAATCATACCATATCTGGTCTACGAAATATTCACAGATATATACACTAGACCGGTTCATTTTGAAAAAATTAATTTTAATATTGGGAGCACAGACAGAATCCTTCAGTAAAACTGAAAACATGAAGTTTGACATCTACCTGGTGTCGCCAGGTGCCCTGAATAGCTGTCGATAGCATTTTTAAACTTAAAAACGTGGTGCAAAAATTGGACAGCATCGCTAAATAAGATTATAAATTGCCAGCTGTGCTTTGAAGGTAAAATCTATGTTAACAAGACGTTTTCCTACGTAATTTTGTATGTAAAATCGAATTCCGTGGTTATTATTGACCAAGGAATGCGAGAAACAGAAAAAACTGGAAAATTTGTTGATACTGCAAAATTTTTTGATTTTTTCTGCCTAATCAAACTGTATACAGTAAAACTTTGATAATTTGAAATCCTAAATACAGGCTGTAATTTCGAATTAACGAAGTAAAAGAGAGGCCAAATTGAATAAATTTTGAATTATAAAAAAACGCAGGTATTTTCATTCATTTAATATGTAACCACAATTCTAATTAAAATAATAAGTCATTTTAGATTGAACTAAAATCTTTTGTTTTTTTTATACAAAAGGACTAAACTTTTTGCATTGCAAAAACTAAATCATCAGAAACTTCGTCATCACAAGACACGATGAAATCTCTCACTCCTTCAAACTTTTCGATTGCTATACTCACTGTAGGAATTATTTTCCTAGTACTTTTTTCTCCTTCTTCATCATCATCATCAGATGATTACTCATTTAATTTTCGTTTTTTATTTAAAATATCAGCAACTATTTCTTGCTCACTTAATACTCCAAATGTCGATACACCATCATCAACAGAAAAATATTCTTCTCAATCCCAATTTTGATCAATTTATTCAATTATCTGTACAACCGGTTCAAATCCAAAGACAGCCTTCCCGAAACAATGACGGATCATTTCAAGCTGAACTTCATTCTATGTTGATTTTAATATTCTACTTGCGACTAAAACATCTATTTTGGTGTTAACCGTTGAATCATTCATTCCTGTTAATAATCTAAAGGAAATTTCTTTTCTATAAAAATGTTTCAAGTTTATGATGATGCCTTGGTCCATTGGCTGTGTGACAGTCGTCGCATTTGGTGGAAAAAATAAAACTTTTATATTTTCTAATAACGAAACAGTATGAGCAGTGCAATTATCCAGAAAGCGAAGTATTATTCGCTTCTGTTTATTAAAATGTCGATCTATATTTTTAAGCCAGGTTTCAAAAATCGAAGAGGTCATCCACGCCTTTTTGTTCGAGGGGTATTCTATGGCTTACATTCATTCTTCCGATTCCATTGTCTTGAACACATCTTTCTTCATATCGTTCACAATTAATTTATAAACTTGACGTACATCTGCAACTGGAACGAATGCCAAAGCCAGAAGCATGTGCATCCGTGTACGCACATAAGATTTTCCCAAACTTTTCTTTTGTATTTTCTTACAAATTGATTGTCCTAAATGAAAGAAGCAGCAGGACATGGGAACGTCTGGGTGAATTTCCATGCAAGCGTTGATAATAGATTTTTCAAAAGCACTCATGAATCTACGGGAACGAAAGTTTTGTATCCCCTATTTGTCGGCGGCTGTTTCAACAGCTCCAAGTACATTTGAATATTGCCCAGTATCTTTTGACGATAACAAAGCATAGAAGAACAGCAGCGCAACAACATCAATATCACCAGCTTGTCTCTTTCGATCGGTGGTGCCCACGATCGAAAACACTTTCGTGAACAAATGTGGAGCGACCTAAGTAGTATTAATGAAAGATTCATTATTAGCCTGACTGTGTGTATTTAAGGGGAGTCATACACCAATTCACTCCTTTTTGTCATTTTTGTGATATAAACCACAGTTTAATGTCAATCTACATTTCCAACATACAATTGACACCTTTGAGCCCTAAAAAACGTGAAAAAAGTTGCAGATAGGCCTTTGCATCTGAAAATAGCTCATTATTGTTATTTTAGCCTTTCGGCACTGTGTGCAAGGTTCACATCAGAGTTATTCAGGTGGGAGTTCCTGATAGGTATCAAAGTCTTCAGAGAAGTATCCTTTATGGGCTGAGTTTTGTGGAATTTGTGAAAAGGGTAGCTTTTATTTAGTAAAAGTAAATTGTTTCAAAACTGCACTTTATATTATAAAAATAATATAAGGGAAAAAATTGATCTGTAATAATCCTTAAGTAAAGATAATTGCGTAGTGGTCTTGTTACTTATTTTCAGACTCCTCGTTCGAGACTTGCACAAAGATTTAAAAAACAAGTAGTTATGTTCAAATTTTTTTCATAGCGTTAGTTAATATTACCAATTTGTGTCATTGTTTTTTAAATTATTATTATTAATAATATGAATCATAATATGAATAATATCAGCTTTCCTCGTATTACACCAAGGCCATCAAAGAGAGCAAGAATTTTGCAGATATGCATAATGCTATATGGGCCACATGGTATCATAAAAGATCCAGCGATGAAAATCCTCAGCATCAACTTTGTCCACCTGGAGCAAATTCATGGTGTCCATGGCAAAGATCTAAATTTGGAGGGACTTAAACACTTTTCAGCACAAACGTTGTAGCTCACTTCCACCAGCTGTCATGTACCGTATAAAAAGCATTTATGAAGCCTCGAGCGCCCCACATTTGCTAGCAAGATGTGTTGGTACATTTTCACAGAACTCTAATGAATCTTTTAACAACATTTTGTGAAAATATATACCAAAAAAGCTCTGGTGTGGCTTTACGACTTTGAAGGCTGGTGCAAACGTGGCTGTGTCAATTTTCAACGGTGGAAAGAAAGCTCTCCTGAATATAATGAAGGAGTTAGATATACTGAAAGGTAACGCGGCCTTTTTACGAGCACTCGCAGCGTGTACTGCTTTCCTACCTTGCTGTCTCATATACGCGTGCGTTCTATGGCACTATCCTTTATGACGCGCGCTGCGAACTCCGTTCCATATTTATAAATTTTCTATTATTATTATTTGAGGGAATTCGTGAAACACCTTAGGACTGGTAAATTTTATGGAGAATAATCGCGTTTTATAATTGTAAATTTTTCACGCGATTAAACAAATGAACAATGACTCTAATACAATAAAGGTTGCACTGTCTTCATCACGTTTCGATCCTCGCACTATCGCATAACCAACAAGTGGTACTGTACGGTAGCAGAAAGAATTAATGTATTTGTGGCACCGCGATCTCGCTTATTCGCGAATTTCAAAAAGACTTGAAAAAATATAATTTTATTTTATTTTTATAAATAAATATTAACATTTAATTTTTATGTTTTTAAATTAACAGGATTTAACACAGGTATAACCTTGTAATCATTATGAGAATTAAAAAAATTAAAAATGAAAAATTATGTTTAAATGATTTCACTTACTGGTAAATCTGAAAAAGCTGTACCAAGATGATGACCATTTTTCGTGTAAAACGCTGTATTATCTACTAAATTCACTCCACAACCTATAATATCACCAGTAGTAAAAGTCGGACCATACGGTTGACCGGTTCCTGATGAACAAAAACTATGACCATCGTCGCCGTGATAACCATATGAATTTTTATCCCATCCTGGTAACCGATTAACATTAACTCCATGCGCTGATAATCCTATGCCCATATAACCATCTCGACCCTTGCTAACTATTTTAACCTCAAAATAGTATAATCCACAAGCAGCAGGAATCGGGTGCGTTGTTCGTACACTAGCAGCATCTTTATGAGTTTTGCCATATCCTAAATGTAATCAACGAATGCAATTAAAAAGTTTATACATTTTTTTCAAATCAAAAATAAATTATATAATAAAAAAATGATGAAGATTAATAATCAAAAAAAAATCAACAACTCTTCTTGTTCAACGCTTGTTGAGGAGGGAGATTGTTGCTGTGGAGACTGTCTCGTATCTTAAAAGGTATCGAGTTCGAAATATTATAGAGTCAACAAGTAGTGCACCCTGTGACGAAAATCTGACTGGTCTCTCTCTTTCACAAAATCAATACAGAAGTATGTACTCATAATTAAGAGTTTACTGCTTACAGGTGCAGTGTCACGACTACGGTCACATCGCTAATATGAGAGACTAGTGATATGAGGCGCGCACCAACTAATAAAGTGAACATTACTTCAATATAATAGCATTTACATTTGTTTTAACTTAATTAATACATTTTTATTTGCACAATTATCACTCGAGGTTTTAGCACTGGTTTGTACCTTTTATGCAGTTCAAGGGAACATTTCACTAGAGTAGCATCTAGGATTTTTATACGAACGGTTTCATATTCAATGGTTTACACACTTTCGAACACTCACTACAGAATTTGGTGGTATTTTCGGCAAACTTATATGTTCTTCAAGCACACTGTGATATATGTTAGACGCTCATAAGGTTGTCATTAGTATAAACTATTATAGATTCAGACCCACGAAGTCCGAACGCAAATCGACAGCAAAGTCGAAACACGGCTCGACGTGAACCTCCGCGCGACTCATGGCGTGCACGCGTGATTTAAACAAGCCAGCAGCCGCCTCCCCTGCAGCGCCGAGCGGCTGTCAAGCTCTGCGCCGTCGGCCCCCACTACCGCATTACAGAACTTTTTAGTTTTTTTCGATATTGTCGTAGCTGGTCTCAAAAATTCTGAAAAAATTTATATTCTTTGACTAATTCCAAGACTTAAAAAATTTGCAATTTTTCGTTAAGACCTTCTGTTACGAGTTAGAAAATCACAAAGATGTTTTAATAAATTAGAAAATGATTTTTAAAATGGGCCCTAAGGTCCATTTGATCATACTAAGCATAGGTGGTTTCATTATTATGTACCAGGAGACCAGAAAAAATTTTTTTTTACATTCAGTGGCGCGCATCTCATGTGGTGTCCGCGTTAGTTAAAATTCGAAAACATGGCGAGTACTCGAAAAAAAACTCGACTTGTTCGATTCGAGCTTTCTCGAGTACTCGCACACCCCTCATTATGACTCAACTTTCACATGAATATCAGTCTACGTCTAAGTACCATCTCTGTAACGTTGCAAAAACAAGCGGGAGGGGGAGCTGTGTTGTTCCACTCGCTCTCCCGGCTCGCGCCTGCCTCCGTTTTTTTTTTGCACAAGAGACGCACGCAGTTTGTAGAGGTCCCGGAAAAAAGTTTTTCAACCAAAGTGAAAATGGGTAAGGCTGAAAAGGAGAAGAGAAAGAAAAAAGGCAAGGATGAAGACGAGCTATCTGCTGTCAAGGAAATGCAGAAGTTGCGCAAGAAGATGGAAAAAATATGTGAGAAAATGGATGTTTTGCAAAGCAAGGTTAAGTTGGCCGATGACGGTAAATCTCACGACACCGAGTCTGAGAAAGAAAACGACTCGTCAAACATCCAAACGCAGAAAGAAACTTCAACGCCTACAACAAAGATTGAGGACTGCAAACTCACAGAATCCGATAAAGATGAGGACGTGGAAATCTCTCAAGATGAAGAATGGTAAAACATTGTAAGTATTCATTTTTACAGTCCAGTTTACGGCTCGCGCGCAAACAACGGATTGCAGTAAAAATTGCAGCACAAGATGGCGCGTGCTCGAGCATTTGCCGCGACGCTCATGTCTGTACGCGTGCAGAAAAGCATAAAAAATAATGTGTGCACGAGTGGCACATAACCTCAAGCGTCACGCATCTTTTTCTGATTGTGCAGATCAGAGATGATCCAACAGTCCCCAAATCAATGCAGATGGTTGTGAAGCCGGAATCGACAAAAATATGGAAATTTTACTGCCGCGAGGGAAGAAAGGCCGAGGAGGAGAAAGCACTTATGGAGAAGTGCGCGAGTATCTCGGAGTTCAAAGCTCCAATCTTCAACCCTTAAATCGCCGCTACAATGAAAGACTCGGCCAAGAAACGTAACGCACACATGGTCACTATACAGGACATATCAAGCCTGAACTTGTCCATTGCTGACACGCTCATAACCAACATTTATGAGAACAGGCACGTAGGTATGGACATAACGGAGATACTGGAACCGTTAAAGGACGTCGGCAGCCTCATTGCCAATCCGCTAACCGAAAAGCGTTTATCGAGCCTTGGGCTAAGCAAAGAAACTATGGAGCTACTGAAGAACACAAAAATAGATGAGTACTTGCATGGCAGGGACTTATCGACCAAAATAGAGGAGAACAAAGCGCTCACAAAAGAGAGTGTAGAATTGGTGAAACTCCACTAACTACGACCGGCTCACAAAAAACGGTAAACTACAAGACCCCATACAAGACGCAGCCTCGTCCAATCATCACTTAATGTCTTCATGCGTATGAAATCAAGTTCAAACTCCCTCAATATACTTGAACTAACTCTCTTTCATGTCCTGAACACATTGAAAAAGATTCACTAATCCAGCTTTAGTTATTAACTGTCAAAATCTGACAAAAGCGATCAAATTAGAGCCAAAACAGGCGCCAATATGCACTTACGTCTACAATATAATTAAAAATATTTGTAAAATACAAACTCTTGTTGTTGATCCTTCTTCACCATCTCTTGACACTCAATTAGAGTAATTTTATTTAATCTTGAGTGATAGTGTGGCTCCATGATGATGCCACACCATATCAACAAGCATTGTCGCTCAAGAATAGAGAAATTGTTTATTACAGTGATTTCTTGGCGCCAATGCTTGTTGATATGGTGTGGTATCATCATGAAGCCACACTATCACTCAAGATTAAATAAAATTACTCTAATTGAGTGTCAAGAGATGGTGAAGAAGGATCAACAACAAGAGTTTGTATTTTACAAATATTTTTAATTATATTGTAGACGTAAGTGCATATTGGCGCTTGTTTTGGCTCTAATTTGATCGCTTTTGTCAGATTTTGACAGTTAATAACTAAAGCTGGATTAGTGAATCTTTTTCAATGTGTTCAGGACATGAAAGAGAGTTCGTTCAAGTTTATTGAGGGAGCTTGAACTTGATTTCATGAGCATTAAGACATTAAGTGATGATAGAAGGGGGTTTTTTTACATATAATTAATATTTAAATGTAGCATGTGCATTATACTTCTTCCAGGGGCCTATGAGATCAAACTAAACCTACTGGGCATGTTTTCTAGGTGCCCAAAGTACCCTCTATGAGTTTGGGCCAGATCCATGACCCGGAGTTGGGGTGGTCTCCTTGTTAGTCGTGCCACTTTGGACGAGTCACTCGCAACAGAAATGATAATATTCGAGCCTAATGAAAAAATGTTGTTGTCACCTTGCAGATAGATACATCACCCGCAAGCTCATCACCTCCGCCTGATTGACGCCAAAGTGTCAAGCAAGCGCTGATAGCAAGAGGACCACTTAAGCAATAAAATATTTATTGTTCGAACAAGAAGATCAACACCAATGACATCAACAAGTACAACCTACTTGGGTTCTTGACGGAAAAATATAAAGAGGGTACGTCACATGGAACACTGAACTCGCACCGCAGTGGCTTGTCACTATTATCAAATAACAAAATAGGAGATCATCCAGACATCACCAGATTTATGAAAGGCGTACACAAATTACGGCCTACTAGGCCCAAATACGCATTTACATGGGACGCCGGCACAATAATAGAACACCTAAAAATATTAGATTATACAAGCTTAAAATTAATAACAAAAAAAAACGGTTATGTTGATCGCGCTAAGCACAGCTCAAAGAGCACAAACAATATCACTAATAAAACTAAATAATATTAATGAGGTTAGTAGAGGATTAATAATAACGATAAGCGATCTTGTAAAAACCTCAGGCCCCAGAAAAGAGCAGCCATTGTTACACGTGCCTACTTTTCCGGAACAACCAAATATGTGCGTTGCGACAACAATAAAAAAATACATAAATGTAATCAGCTAATTTCGAGGCAATAATCAGCACTTATTCATCAGCTTAAATCCACCGTGCAAAGGCGTAGGAGCAGAAACAATAAGCAGGTGGCTTAAAAAGAACTGTGCGGGATAAATACTCAAACATTTAGCGGTCATTCGACCCACCACGCCGCAAGCTCAAAAGCTGATGAGAAAGGCATCGATATAGACACCATACGCCGAACGGTCGGCTGGTCAAAAAAATCGCAACCATTCGCAAAATTTTATAAACGTCCAATTGTATTCGATAAATTTGAATTCGCAAAAACTGTATTCCAGATTGAATAAAATATGTAGTTTGTTATGTAATAAAACAATAAACCTTATTCACAAAACTATATATATTTTGCCCCAATATCGATAAACAACTACACTTGTAATGTATGGAGAGCGAAGATGAAATATAATTGAACGATCAAACGATCTCCTCCGGAGTGAAGTTCGATCGAAATTATATAAAGCCTCGCTCTCCATACATTACTCCCGCCGCGAAAACCTACCCCCGTAAAGAGAATATCCACGGGCAAAAAATGAAAAACGTTAATTTGCAAAAGTAATACTGTGAAGACTGAGGCAGGCGCGAGCCGGGAGAGCGAGTGGAACAACACATAGCTCCCCCTCCCGCTCGTTTTTGCAATACTAGGACTCTGAAACTCGTGTGAATCTAGCATGTCGAGGACATCTATACTTGTAATGTGTGGAGAGCGAAGCTGTATATAATTTCGATCGAACTTCACTCCGGAGGAGATCGTTTGATCGTTCAATAAACTGAATATTTGTGATGATACTAAATCATTCAATTCTACAATAACTTTACAAAAAACCAAATCTAAATATTTTCCAGCCCTCATATGAAAGTTAATATTTGCAGAATATGCACAACAAAAAATTTTGTATGCACAAATTTTTTATAGACGTACTTCCATTGAGAACGAATTGATAAGTTATGTCCGAATATGATTGATAGCATTTGCAAAGTTAATGATCGTAATATGATTAACATTGCAGATAACCGATCTGATTTTTTGTTCGGTCATACAACTTGAAGGCTTATCATTTTCCAAATAACTCAAAAGTTTATTATTTAGGGAGGCTCTACACCAATCATAACAATAGGATAGCGAGACATCTGTCAGTCTTTTTCTCGAGGCATCTGTCTGTCTCTTTCTCGCATTAGGCAGACAACCGCTCGTACTATTGGAAATCAATGATTTTGTTTAATTACTCATTAGTTAGTTCGTTAAGGGGTAATTTTTAACATACCAATCGAAAGCTTGGAACTTTCTCTTTCAGAAAATAATTTTTTTATTAAGATGGTTGATCTTTTAAATTAGTTATAAACAATAAAAGACCGCGTGCCATAAGAGCCCGTGTTAAAATCGCCATTTTCAAACTTGTTTATCTCGAAAGTTTGTTCGTCAACCACATTTTTTATTTTTTTGGAATCTCATTTTGAAGATCTAACAAATCGATTGATATAAGTTTTATTTTGTTGGATGATCTTTTGTATTATGTGTAGAGCCTCCTTAACGAATAACTTTAGATATTACTTATTGAAACTAACAAAATGTTTTATCATTTTTTTAAATGATTTTGAGATTTCACGCTTTCCAAATAAGTAATAACCCGAGATATTGTAGATTTTCAAAATTTTTCGTGTGCGTATAATATTACAGAATAATCAAAAAATATTTGATAAAGCAAACTGAAAATTTCATTGAATAAAACGGTAACCGAGTTGTCTGTGGAACAGCCGGTCTATAGAACCACCGCCATGTTCAATTAATTTTACAACCGTTTTATTAAATGAATTTTTTAGTTTGATATATCAAATATTTTTTTGAATATCTTTTGGTATCATACGCACATGGGAAAACATTCATTTTCCTATTTTACAAGGGCTACTTAAGATAAAATTGGAATTAAAAGTGTTCAATACGACTAAGTGGAGCTGTTATTGTATAGAACCAACTTAATTCATTTAAAATTGATCTCCATAGACTAGTTTGGGATAAAAGGAAATGATTTTAGTAGAAGAGATTTATTATATTTCTTGCACCAAATGGGGCTTTTTCACAGTTGTCACTATTGGTCACTTTACAATTTGCCTGGAGGTAAAATATGCAAGGTGTTGCGGGTTGAGTAAATGAGAGACCTAGTTTGTTTTGCCTCAAGGAAAATCTGTAAAGTGACCAATAGTGACGACTGTGAAAAAGGCCTATAGGGTCCAGCTATTCAGACTCAGAGGGATTTTGGTATTTGGAAAAATTGATATTTCTTGCAATAAGTTTATCTGCGAATTTTCAGCTCGTGCAATTTTCAAATAATTAAAAATGTAAACCTTTGTAAAAATTCAGCAAGACTGAACGTAATTCTACTACAGGTAGTTTAATGGTTTATGTTTTAAAGCATTTAATAAAATATTCACTAACACTTTCAAAGTCTTATTAAAATTTTCAGGTCAATAGCAATTATTAAGAACTACATTTCTGAGTATCTTTTGAATTAAATCTGATAGTATTTTCATACAATATGCATAGAAACTAAAAAGGGCCCCCAAAATTTCTTATTTCTATTTATAAAAAAAAAATGTACTTGTGTACAAAAAAATTTAATTGATATAAAAAATATTTATTTAGTTTTTTTCTTTTTTTTTAATCAGAAGCTGAATTGCCTGTAAAAAATCTTAAAAACCAAGAGGGTTTTAGAGGACAAATGTGTGATTCAACTTACTTTCAATGAATCATATTTTATTACACCTTTTTACACTTCATGCTATGAGCAAGTAGGAGTGATGATTTTTTATAATACAAACTGAGCTTCAAATCTAATAGAATAAATCTGCTAGCATCTTACCATTTTCTTGCATAAAATAATAAAATTAAATAATTTATTTCAAAATAAAAAGCTTCATATGAAATACTTGAGTTTACCAAAATTCCATATAACAATTTTTTCAAATAAAACTATAATCGTTGAATAATTTTCTTAAAAAGCTATTGAGTACTGCTATTTTGGAAGTCAAAGTTTTCCAGTATCCAACACATTTTATTAAACACAATAAATTTTAATCATTTTTATTATATCAATCTCATTTAACCAAAAATTACAATAATTTGATAATGGATGGCTCAAATACAATATTTTAGTAATTCCAGAATAAATTTAAATGCTTTGATGACGTTAATACAGAATGGTAAGATACTAGAAGGTAGACAGATACTATCGGTTTAACTCTATAATAAATATAATTAGTGGATCAAAATTTTAAGAGAAATGATAATAAACAAAAATATCAACATTACAATATAGTTTTTGATTTCTTTAGATTCACTCCAATAAAATTATACAATAATTTACAAGAATAAAACTTTAAATATATCATTTCTCTAAAAATGAAAAAGCATTCAGAATGAAGTGCATAAAGTTATTACATTGGTCAACTTTGGTACAGTACAAAAAGATATTCAATTAAAAGATATATTCATTATATTAATTATCTGAACGAATTTAAAACACTTGAAATGTCATAATTAAAACTATAATGAGTATTAACATTTTTTCATAACAATATCTTAACATAAATTTATAGATATTATAAATTTGAAAAAATAAAACAACATTATGTTTTTAATATAAAATTTATTTACCTTTATAGTGAACACGAAGATTATTTTGAGAAAGCCCTATGTAATTGTATTTGTCTTTTGAGCTCCATGACTTTGGCAATGGTGTATCATCTTCATTTACCATTGGATAGAGCATCTTTAATCTGTCCAGTGTTTGATTTTGCATTGTTTTCAGAAGTTTGGATCTATCCATTCACTAATATAAACATTAATATCAAATAAGAAATGTTAGATGTATATTTCACATTTAAAAATAATTACAATTTGAATTAGAATACTGAATCATGAGAGAAAATATTTGGAATAATTATTTATGCCTCATATATGATTATTGTATTCATCTTCAACAAAAGCTTTGTTCTTGTATAATAACAAGATGTATAGAGCTTACCTATATATAAATATATATATATATATATGTATATATCTTTGATGACAATGAGTTTTATAAAACGCTGAATAAAATTAATATTTATCAAAATAAAATGTTTTAAGTACTTTTATAACTAATTGAAAATGGTCTGAAAACGATGTTCAAAGTGTTACTATTCCTTTTTAAGTTTAACTTCACTCACGCATTATACTGTAAATATTCACTTAATGAAATGGTTTCATTTTATACCAATTATAAACCATATTCAAATATTCAAATATTTGAACTAAAGCGTACTATTTATATATTTTTATATGATGATACTGAAATTTACGCTTTGTTTTTATTTTCTAAAATGTTCTATCAAGACGCCATTTTTAAATGCTTTTATAATTATTTTCTTACTATAAAGCCCCACGCACGAAAAAGAATTCGAGGACATATACTATAAATGGCAAGTTTATCTATTGCGAATATATACGAACATTTTATTTTATTGAAATTTTTTTAAATATCAAAAACAAAATTACAAAAACAATCATCGTAATTTTTTACGAGTTCTAACCTGACGATAAATAGTCGTTTCAACGTTACAGTAGGTGAGTGGTATTTCTGTCCGATGGAACGTCGGAATTTACTATGCTTATACACGTTCCACCACTGAGGCCGGACAGAATTGATGTTCACCTAGTGTACACAAAAAAACATAAATAAACCCATTTTTCGGGTTTTTTTTTCTCTCTAATATAAATGAATAATAAATTAAATTACGGATTCACTCTCCGAGATACAACAAAATATCCATTCAATAAATAAATTTAGGGAAAAAAATAATTTTTCTGTAACGTAAAATAATTTGATAGTCCTGTCAAAAATGATAGCTTGATTACTAGCTTGATTTCTGACGGATTTCAAGCTGAATTTCGAGCTGAATTTCGAACAATTGCACGTAGAATTACGTTTGGTTTTTCAACTGTTTTAGGTGGTATTATCGGATTGATTTTGCTTGAAATCGAAATTGACTTGATATTATCCGGCTTAATTTCGTCAGGATTCAAGATAGTCACTGATAAAATTATAACTGAATTTAATGCGATTGGAGTTGATATGGTATCCCTATTTCCAGCTATTTCATATAGAATACCAGCTGGATTGTCGAAAATTTAAAAATTCGATACGGAATTGTAGCATATCCTTGTAGAAATCGAATATCTTTTTGGCATAAATGAAACGTTTTTTCGACCATTTATCGGCCAACTCGCCGTATTGGTTGTTGAAAGGCCAATAAATGGTCAACAAAATGTTTTCTGATGCTCCGAAAGGTTAAATTTCTACAAGGGATTTAAATAAAATTTTGGGGTGGAGAAAAATTGAGAAAATAAATAATATAAAAATGAACAATCATTATTGTTCCATCTCTTAATACTAAATAAAAAGTTCAACGACGATAGTAACATTTTTATTTTTCAACATTACAAACATCAAATTTCATAGTACTGAGTGGCATCCCTTCACATTATAGAGCCATGTACACGGGGAAAGATTTTGCTCTCGAAACGCGATGCAGAGTACACGCCAAAACCCGGTGCGCCATCTACTCATGAAATGAGATTAACGCTCGAAGTTCGCCAATCCATGCATCATGAGAGTTGGTGCGCACTGCTCTATGTTTTACGATGCGTCCGTGCATTTCACATCAGCGTGCATGCATTGCGTTTCGTGATGCGCGCACGCTAAAGCGTCATTCGTGCGGATATATTGTAAAACATAATTCTCTACACCATCTTCTAATTGAATTATCTATTATGTATTCTATTTAATTTTATATTATATATATAATACATTACCCAAATGAAAATTAGAGTGAAAAAGAAATGGTTTTTATTTTATAAAATACAAAAATACAAAAATGTAAAGATATAATTAAAGTTAAAATACATGTCTTCCTATGATAAAATCTCGTACAGTTTTATCATCTGTGTACAAAAGAAAAGGAGTTCTTAAAACTAAATCTTCATACCTTATTTTTATATGAAGATCAATTTCTTTTACACAGTAAGCGAACAAATGTTTATCAAACCCGACAGTTTTTAAAACCGAACAATGAAAAAAGATTTGACCATTTACTTCAGAGACTGCAGAGATCTTGCCGAACTCTGGAAATTCTCCTTTTACATTAATAAGAACAACGGTGCCTTCTTTATAGGTGCAATCGTTAACAACGACTCGACTTAAAAAGTACTTTTTTATACCAGAATTCGTAATATCTATGAAGTCTGTATCTATGGTTTTTTTCCCATATTCAATATAATAATCTTGATATTTAGAAAATTTTACAGACATTATACTTAGTTGATATCTTTTGGCTATACTAATAAGAATATTTTTACGTGAACATGACGTTAGTGCAATGGCCTTTAAAGATTTGTGTTTTGATTCACATCGCATAGTTGATATCTTACACAATGGACCATTTGATAAAAGGACTCTTACGTAATGCAGTAAGATATGATATTTCCCCGTCAAGTCACCAAACATACTTATATAAATTGAGGTAAACTCTGTGATTATTACACCTAATTGAGCGACATGAGAATTTGATAATTTCGGGGCTGAAACCAAATCAATCAGTTCACGCAGTTTTAAGTATAGGGTCCAAGCTTGATTGCCCGAAGGAACTTTACAACCAACTATAATACAAAAATATCTGGTAAAAAATAAAATCTCAGATCCAGACATTTTCATCCTGCCATTATTTTTCAAGTATTCTAAATTAATTCCCAGAGGGATATTACTCGATTCGAATCCAAATTTGATACTACTTAATCGAAAATTAAGGAAATCAATTGTGAATAACTTATCCTCTAAAACTAATTTTAATATTATTTTACACATTGTTCTACTGCAAATACCTTCATAAACGTCATGTAATATATCTACGTACGTATTAGTAATTACATGAAAATCTTTTAACTCATTAAATACGCATCGTTCCTTTATACCACTCCTGAAGTTTTCAATACATGCAACATCATTTTCATAACTATCTATAGTTCGTAAGAATTTTGAATTTTCTCTGATCATTCGTGGGATAATTTCTGGATAAGAATAACATATTCGGCAGAAAGTAGTATTGTGAAAAGATTCAATGAAACCGAGCATGCCATTTAGACCCAAATTATCTCCCGACACGATTGATGTAATAAAATACACTTTATAACATTTATTTTCTACTTGGACTTCAATGCCTTTTTCGCGTAAGTCATTGAGTTCTTCTATCGTATATTTAAATATTGCCTTGTTGCCATATAATTTTCTATGATTAGAAAAATATAAGTCACTTAAAATAATACTACTTATTTTTGAAGCATAACTAGGTGGCAAGCAAGGGATAAGGACATAATTTGCTCCTACTTTATTTTTACCAGCATGAGCCCCCATACCATTTCCCATTTCAACGTCATCTGAATAGAAGAAGAGAGGCAGATATAACTGTTTTTTATCAGTTTTTTTCAATTGGTTTTTCCACAGACTACCTTGTACGAAATTTTCCAACACTTTTTTTTTCTGAACAGAGCTCATGTATGAAATTGTATTTTTAAATAACCCTTCAACCTGGAGTAACTGTTTCAATGATGACTTTAAAGGAATATGAACTATTTTGACAACTTTTTCTTGGTGTTGAAGGATTGTACCATCAACTTTAGTACACGATTTTGTCCCAATCTTTAACTCTTCAGGAGGTGTATACAACTCATATTTTATCAACATATTTTCACGTTTATCAGGCGTTTCAACGAAATCGAATGGGTTTTTAAAACGATTAAAAATTGAATCGATTTCATTAGAAATTTCTTTTGACACTCCATTACTTAGAGCAGACTGGATGGTGTCCCGTAAAAAAGTATTATATTTGTGCGAAATGAACGTGGAAAACTCATTGATAATTTCGTCGACATCAGATTTTGACAACCTAGTATTCGAAAATAACCCACAAATAATATTTAACACGTCTTTTTGTAAACTCATTGTGCTTATAAACAAATATTTAAGAATTGAACGAATTACAGAAAATTTATTTTTCGGGTAAGATACGCGCTTTTTTTGTTAATCCCAATGATGCACCCAACAAATCAGCCTGACGTTTAGCTACATTTTTTCTAATTTTACGCAAGAAATAGATGTTTGTTTGGATAAAGGTCCAAACATACGCGCACCCTACTGGATATGGTATTTGTAAAACTAACATAAACTTAAAATTAAAGTCTATGGCCTCAATCAAAGTCGTAAAAGAGTATATATTTTTTTTTATCACTGCGTGATAACACGTTATTTCTCTCAATTTTCCGCAAATAACTACATACGGCTGAGGGCTGTTGATACCGTTGGCAGTGTATTCTTCGTCACACTTGTCGACTAATATGGGCAATTTATCATGACTCTGAAAATATATTTAAATATAAAACATGTACTTTACTAAAAAAAATAAATAATTTGTGACTTTTACCAGAACATGTTGAAGAAAAGAAGTAATTTTATCATTTTTAGAAATTGTCCAGGTTGATCCCTTCGGATGCTCCGTTTTGCGAATAGAATGATCAATAGTCCAAGGTAAACAGAATGCGGCAATTGAAAATTTGGCAGCTGCGTTAAAACAATTTTACATTTATAACAATTGAAACAATGATATAATGGATTTCTAAGGAGTAAAATAAAAATTAACAATTTAATATTATCATACCTGAATCCGTTGGAAAAACGTCCGAACTTATCAAAATATTTACAAATGACTTTGGGTCGAGTAATGAATTCTCAAAGTCATAGCTTTGGGAAGTAGTTCCTTCTGTAATTTTGGCGTTATTTTTTGCTGCGATTATAATTCCTTCCTGAATTGATTGCCACTTCGAGTTCAATAGCTGGATGGTCGGAATTTCATGACCTGAGTATTTTTTATGAAAATCTAAATTAATCTGAAAAGTATAAAATACACATGTAATCAATAATTTTAACAAATATATTGTTTAACAAAAATATGTTCAAAATCGATCAAAAAACTCACAAATTCAGGACATATAAAAGTTGTCAAAATGCAGTAATCATCTAAAAACTGAATCCCATTCTTTGAAAATTGAGCTTGTCTGTAATCAAAGCTTAATTCCCAAGCTTTTCGTACTTCCGTCAAATCTTCATCAGGTTTAACAATTTTTTTTAAACAAGATAAGTCAACAGTAACCTCTGATGTAGTCAAATCTGAAAAACGATTTCGATTAATGTAACAATTATTGTCACCAATACATTCTATAATTAAATACCTTCGGCAGGCTTTGGG